ATGGCATCTTGCCAGTGTGGGAATTTGATGGCCTGACTACAGAATTTTGGTTCAAAAACACTAGAAACAGAAACAGTAAATGCCTTATGTTTGGGGGAGAGTCCATTTGTAGAGATAAAATGACAAATGGAATAAGTTTTAGCTGAAGTGGGTTGATTGGCCAGCATTGAGGAGGACTGGTTTGCACTGGAAGCAGAAGGCAAATCACAATGATATTCAGTCAAATATGAAGGCAAATGCTTAGGTCTGGTAGATTTTCTAGGAGGAGCTTGATGAGGAAATGAGTCATTGTCAGATGAGGGAGTAGAGGGAACCTGAACTGATAATGGATTAATGCTAATATGTGTATGATCAGTGCCGAGTTCTTCTGATTGAAGTATGCGAGGATATGAATGATCGAAGAATGGCTCAGATATAGGGAAAATGTGCGGATCAATGGGTGAGTGGTGCGAAGAATTGGAAAGTGGATTCATAGAAGATCACATTTCGGCTAACAAAGGTTCTATGGTTCTGTAGATCATACACTTTATACCCTTTGTAACTAAGAGCATAGCCAAGGAAAATGCACTTAGTAGCACGGGGAGAAAACTTAGTTCTGTGGCTGCTAAGTGTACTGGCAAAGCATAAGCATCCAAATTTTCTGAGATGATCATAAGCAGGTGGCTTTTTGAAGAGCAGTTCATAGGGAGTTTTATTATCAATAATTGGGGATGGAACCCGGTTAATAACGTGAACTGCTGTGAGTATGCAGTCACTCTAGAATGTGAAAGGGACATTGGATTGAAAGAGGAGAGCCCTAGCTACCTGTAGGATGAAGGGGCAGATTTCACAATTATCCAAACTCTTACAAGGAGTGTGAAAAGAAATATTAGGAATCTTGGACAGTCTGATGTTGGATATGTGTCCAAGTCTGCAATGCTAGAGGTGATTGGAATGAATCGAGACATAAACTATGGGGCTTCTGGTAAAAGGTAGAGTTTTAGAGGTGTCCTGAGTAGTCATGCAGGTATATAAGCCATTTCCTTCCTTAGCAAAACCAGTCATCTTCATGCTGACCAAGTCCTGTATAAAACAGTAGGATGCAGAGAAGATAACATGAATATTGGAAAATTTTGTTAACTTAGAGACTGAAATTAAATTGAAAGAAAAAGAGGGTACGCAAAGAACATTTTCAAGGAGAAGTTCTAACTTTCCCAATATGGCTAACTGGGACGGAAGAGCCATTTGGTAAGTGGACTTTACTGGTTATGGTTGAGTCAATAAAGGTAAGGAAGGTCGGTGAACATACCATATGGTCTGTTGCACCTGTGTCAACTATCCAGGTAATGGCCTTAGAATAGGTTGAGCTACATAAAGAAATACCTGAAGTGATGGTGGCTGCTGTTTGAGATGCCGTGGTAGGTGGTTTAGAGTGTTGAGATTTTGTAAATGCCATGAATTGTTGAAAAAGGTCTCGATCAAATGGACTACCACGACCCTTATCGTCTGCAGATTGGCCTAGGCTTACAGCATGAGCAACAGAGGTATCAGCCATCATCCTTGGACCTTTAGGACCTTTCTAGCCAGGAGGATATCCTATAAGTTGGAAACAATTATCAGCAGTATGGTTTAAATACCCACAGTGAGTGCATTTTAACTTCTTCTTATCTCTATGAGGTTGCCTTGCGTCATAGCAGATGACTCTTGGAACAAATAATTCTGTAGATCTCTCTGACTTTCTTCATGAAGCATAAGAGCATAGACTCGAGCTAGTGATGGTAAGGGAGAAGTCAGCAGTAATTGGCTTCTTAGTGCAGAATAAGACTCATTTAGTCCACTAAGAAATTTCATGACAGCATCTGATTGTTGTGTGTCTGATATATTCTTCAATATCTCACACGTACAACTTGAAAGTTTACCACAGCTGCATTTAGGCAGAGGTCTGTAGCTGGTGTATTCTTCCCAAATACCTTTGAACGAGTTGTAAATGTATCACTCCGAAACACTAGGAACAGAGATAGAGCTAAGACACTTCTCCAAATGATATACTCTAGGACCATCACTTTGAACGTATCTAGTTTTGAGCTCACTCCATACTTCATATGCTGAGGAAATATATAGCAAACTTCGGTGAATATCTTTGCTAATTGAGTTCAATAGCCAGGATAATACCAGATCATTTGCACGAACCCAACAATTATATGTAGTACTAGATGACGGATCTGGCGAGATTAAGGAACAGTCAATGAAGCCTAATTTGTTCTTCACACTTAACGCCATGGCAATTGATCTACTCCAAGAGGTATAGTTGTCCCCATTGAAGATGTCAGAGACAATTAATGCCCCAAGATTTCGCTAGGATGTAGATAGTAGTGACTGATAGGATCATCAGCCGGATTAGAGAAAGAATCAGCTGAACTTGCCATGTTTTAAGTAAAGTGTTAAGGCTGAGAATTTAAGGTGAGAAATTCCGGAGCAGAACTTCTTTTCAAAGAGAAACTATCTGATTTAAAAATTGGAAATTACAACCACATGCTCTGATACCATGTAAAATTTATCAAGTCAAATATGGAAGAAGACAATTATAGAGGAAAGCATGATAAATTGAACGAAGAAGGAGAAGATTTACTCCATTTCTCATTAAAGCAAAAGTGAATACATTGCAGTTATTTATAGACTAAAAACTTAGCAAACTATCAACAAATTAACAAACTGAGGAAGAAGCTAGAAGAATCTAGAATGAAAAGCTGAAGCATGCTGAACGTGAGCTCCTTGTCATGCTGGAAACGTGAACTGCCGATTGTGCAGCTTCTTCTTCTTATGAGTCAGCACTATGAGAATGTGTTGTATCGCGAGACAAGAATCTCCTCTCGTCCATTGATCGTAAGTTATCCAGTTTCTTTCTTTCTTTTTTACACACATTTTCAGTTTAAGTTTGGTAGATAAGTTTGTTCTATTTATGGCATTACTGGACGAAAAGTTAACAGTATCTAACTAAGAAATCCATGCAGGGTCGCTACAACTTGACCATGAGGCCAATGACGGATCCAAGACCGAATTACAGGCCGGGCTAATATGTTTAAAAAAAAAATTACACAAGAAATTTTTTTTTACATAAAAAAAAAAAAAATTTCTACTAAAAAAAATTCAATGTCCCCCTTCCCCTAGATCCATCAGTGCATGAGCCATGTAGCAACTTGATTCCATGATTGTTCCTTTTTGTGGAGACTCAGGGAACTAATAAGTGGTCGCTACCAAAAACTTTTGGAAATCACAGAAAATGAAGGAAAATGTCTTTTAATTCATTTGGCATTTTTATAATTTTGGAAGGAGCGAAACTGTGATAGTGTCTTGAATTGAAGATTTTTTGCTATTTGTTCCTAGATTGATGACACTTGAACTCTCTCTAGCATGTTTGTAAGGTATACGCAAAAAATCCCGAATAATATCGATAAAAATGGAAATTGCAGCTACCAACTTCAACTATTAACTTCACACTTTTTTCTTCAACTTTTGTTCTTGTCAATGCTATCTTTAACTTTTCATTAATGGAGGTTTATTATCACCAATCAATAAAACAAATTAATCCAAACAGTCCAATCTGTTCAACGATAATGATGAACTGAATTAACTTTTTTTTAATTATAAGCGACATAGACATGAAAAATGCTAAATACTCATGTCATTAAATCGCACAAACATAAGCATGCAAAGTGTTAAATAATGTGTGCTGTTAATGTGTTACCAAGGCTCTATAGCCACATCGTGCACATGTGTAATTGAAGGGAATTTGTGGCACAATGATGCAAGTGACCCAATGGGATGAAATGTTGGAAGCCCAGTTAGCTGAATAATTTGGTTTATTACTTGGTGCAAGAAATATATTTCTGAAATGCTTAAAACCATGTAATAACCTACCTGATTTTGGACGCCGATGATGTCGTCATGTGTCGCCTCCACAGCCGTTGGATTGGTGACTATTGAGAGACTCATTTAAGGGATTTTAGGGTTGGATCACTGCACACTTTTTGGCTTTTGAGATATTTCATTCTATCTCGTTTCTGCGCCGTTTTTAGAGTCTTTTCCTTCTTATCTCTTTTGATTTCTTGTTACTCTCTCAAATCTGAGTAATCTTGTATGATTATTGGTTGAGCTGAGTTGTTGTTTGTTCTTGTGTGAACCGTTTAGTCGAAGGAGAGGTGTTTGTGATTCTACGGTCAAGTCTGAGTGTCTATCATTTTTGTAATCTTACTTTGGGGTTTGATTTGTACATGAATGGTAGTTGTTCTTCAGTGATTTAAGCACTAGTTGAAATATTCTTGGCCTGTCGGCTTTGATAATAAAGATACGTATTATTTTCAATTTATTGTGTTAATCTTTTACAGTTCATTTTGGTTTCTTTTAGCGTATATATTATGGTTGATCTTGTGAGCTAATCTGTGAAACTCCTCCCAACAGTAACATATACTTCTATACGTTGAAGTTCGAGATCACCAGCCTAACACGTGTATCTAAGTGGGTCCATTAATGCATTACCAAGACTCTAACCACGTTGCGTGCATGTGTTCATATACTTGTACATGTTGGAGTCAGAGACCACTATCCTAAAACGTGCATCTAAGGAATGTTATCTCTCAAGAAGACAAATATTTATTAAAGTTGATTAATTATGATGAAATTTATCAATCTTTCTCGCAACGCAAGATAATAAATGAATTTATGCTTAATCAATCATGAGGCAACTAATTGTGTGCTCTTATATTTTACTTTACTTAAATCTCTTCAATACCGTTTATATCATAAAATTTCCATTAAAACTCATAGAATTTTTTTTTTTTTTTTTATAAAGAATTGAGTTTACAAAAATTTATTCTTGCATGACAGTAGAAACAATAAAAAAAAGGTACAACATTAGTTTATTAGCTAAAGATTGTTACATCATATGCACTTCAAAACATCACGAAATTCAGATAAATATAACAAGAGACATTATTTTCTGTTAATGTTGTCATTAATTAAAATTATTTTCTACCCCTAAAATGGGGGTTGTAATAAGAAGCACCAACGTGTCCGGCTCCACTGCTTGATGCACCTGCACTTGCATTTGGATCTGCATTTGCACTGGGGGAAAAACCAGGATAAACGGTGCTGGGAAAATCTAAATTTGGATCTGCATTCTCATTTGCATTTGGGAAAAAATCAGGATGAACTGTGTTGGGAAGATTTCCTTGGGGGGTGCATCGATGCACCTGCAATTGCATTTGGATCTGCATTTGGTAAAAAACCAGAATGAACTGTGTTAGGAAAATTTTCTTGAGGGTGCATTGATACAGCTGCACTTGCATTTGGATATGCATTTGCATTTGTATAAAAAACAGGATGAACTGTGTTAGAAAGATTTCCTTGAGGGTGCAGTGATGCACCTGCACTTGCATTTGGAAAAAAATCAGGATGAACTGTGTTGGGAAAATTTTCTTGAGGGTGCAATGATGCACCTGCACTTGCATTTGAAAAAAAATCAGGATGAACTGTGTTCGGAAAATTTCCTTGAGGGTGCATTGGTGCACCTGCACTTGCATTTGGATCTGCATTTGCATTCGGAAAAAAACCAGGATGAACTGTTTTTGGAAAATCTGCATTTGCAAAAAAATCAGGATGAACTCCTTGAGGGTGCATTGATGAAGAAGAAGCAGCTTCGTTAATCCTCAATTCTTCCATTCGATTTTTTGCTTGATTTATGAAATTTTCCAGTATAGATTTCAGTTGTTGCACTTGTTCTTTATTGAGCTCTTTGACAGGCGCTTCCCACCAACCTTTGACGGTACGTTTTTCTTCAATTTCTTTTATGCGCTCGGCTCGTTTGTTTTCGTACTCAACTTTCTCACTTATTTCGTCGAGTGTTTCATTGAGCGCCTTAACTTTATTTCGGACATAAGTCTCAAAAATTTCACTTGAACTATTAGACGGTTCTCTATGATAATATCGATTTACTACGGCTTCCATAGTAGGATGGAAAAATGAAAATGGCTTACCAGTCGGCGAGAAAATGATAATCCCCATATCCACATCACATAAGGTACATAGTTCACTTGCCTTTTTAGTAACCCTACTCGTCGTTTCGAGAATGTTGCATAACGATCTTCCTCGTTCTCGATCTTCTGGATCTCAATCTTTTGACGTCCTCGTGATTTCCTTCTCTCCAAGTTTGTGCTAGAAATTGTTATTTGTGCATTGGCAATCTTCGGTCGACTGATATTTATAGGGGAAAAGCAATAATCCTCCTACAATGCGTCATAGGAAATTATTTTACTACCAAAAAATCTAATTTGGAAAATTTCGAATTCAATAAAATCTTTATTTGGATTATCGCAATCTAACTTTTTTCATTTCATTTTCAAACACCGTTTAATATAAATATTAACTGGATTAAGTAAATTGAAAAGACAGTGAGTTAGAATAATATAAATTCTCTGTGTGAATGCAAAATGATTTTTACTAAAAGATGATGAAAGTCAAATGTGAAAAATAATTTAAAAGATTTTCAAAATCCAATCTAAATTCTTGTAAGATGCCAAATAAAAAGGACAATTAATCTACTCAAACAGGGTTTTGAAACGGGAATTGGGACATGGTGTATGTGGCAACGTCTGTGTAGTTGTTTTTTTCCTCTTTTTTCTAACTTACCAATCGGTGTGTGCCACGTGTTTCCCTTTTTTTTATTTTTTGTCTTGTCACTGACCCTGTTTCTCTAGCATTGTTCTAAAAAGGAATGCAAGCCTATTTGTATAGGGTGAATCACCCTGTATACTGTTCAAATGCAGTGTGGCAACACTGCATTGGACACTACCAAAAAAGTGTAATGTTTGCGGCCAATGCAGTGCTGCCAACACTTCTTTATACAATTCTTTGGTAGATTTCATCACGTGAACCCAATTCTTTGGTAGAATGTTCGACTAATACTACATTACTATAGCATGATTATATATTTATTTTATTATTTTTACTGTTAAATGACTTATAATAGTTAGTCATAGTGACAACATTTAGGTGAGTGACATTTCCAGCCCATTTATATGTTAGAATTATATGGGCTTTTGATAAGTGTATTTTATATATTTATTTGGGGTCTAAAATAGTGATATTTGATATATTTTTTTTTTCAAAATATATCATAAATTGTTGTATTTATGTTATATAAATAAAACTCGAGAAGAAGTTGATGAATTAGAAGAAAAGAAAGAAAAACAGGCAAAAACGATAGAAATTCAAAGTTTGAACACCAAAGTGTATACATTCAATAGTTGATTCAAACCATAAAATAATGAATGAAGAACGCATATGATCAATTGGATGCAATTTGAAGTCAAATGAGTGAAATATAGCCGAAATATTTTCACAAATCAATTTCTAGCTGAAAAAGTTATGCTCCAAATTTTTAACATCAACTTAAAACCCATTTTTCGGATAGCAAACATTCGAATTGGAGAAGTTGCATTTATAGAAGAATTGTAGTCCTTTGAGATGTCTTTTCAAATCACTTTGAGTCTCCTCAATCGGATATTTGAAGTGAAAATTATAACCAAAATACCAGAAGCTGCTTAGGGACAACATCATGTGAACCGGCTTGCACGCTAGACACCAGAGCTCTTGACCCCAAAGCAATTCAGCATGCTTACACATGCACGGTAGCTATACCTACTCCCGCGCCCAGACCAAATTTTCTGTTGAAGAGCTAATTTCCCTTTTTGATTCAAACTCTTATTGATAACAACTTTTGAACTATTTTTAACCTAAATTCAACAATTATAAATACAAAAGAACTTGGGAGAAAAAAATAAATAAAAATCCCTCTCCTCTTGTACACCGTTATACATCAAAAATTCTTCCGTATTTCATCATAAAAGATGGGCAAAATCATATATTGTGAGAATATTTTAAATGCGAAGTTCAAGAACTCGTCAATTCAAAATTAAACATGTGATTTGTGGACATATAAGTGAAAGGATTAAAGGATTATTGAAGATTTATCAAGATTGTTTTGAAAAAATTCAAAAATATCAATATTCATCTTCCTTCATTCATTAATTCACAATTGTGGGTGATTTTATTCAAAATTATGATGTCTTCTTGTAATTTTAATATGTTAGGCTAGTTAGTTAATTGTTAGGATGAGATGAACCTTGTTTTGATATTTTTGGTTTTAAAAATTAGTTTGACTTTAACTTGCTTTTAAATTCTTGGATGTTTATTATTGTTTTCATGAATTTCAATTAATTGGTTAGTAGTTGAATTATTTGTGTATTTTGTTGTTATGGAGAGGGATAATATGATCAGATATACAAAATAATAAATATTGTAAAGTCCAAAAAGGGATAAAAATATACCGTTATGATTTACATGATTTTTATAGGTGTTCTAGCATGTTTAATTTTATTTTTTTTACCCCTTCGCATCTTTTATAGAAATATAGGAATGTCACATATACGAATAGATTTAATTTCTCTCGAGATAGGCTTTTAATTAAAATAGGAACATTGACCAGCAAAGATGATTTCAAATTGTCATTTTTAATTGTTGAACTAAAAATAGATTAATAAGGGGAATTCGACATCGTAGCAAAACTTCTCACATATTAGAAAACCAATTTACTTGCTTTAAAGTTAATAAATTAGAAAAACTCAAGTCACTTTTGTTATTCAATTAAAGATATTATTAATTTTAACTCGATCAAACACGTAGTTCTTGTGAGTTCAATACTATATTCATCATTTTATTAGTTGATTGAGATATTGTGCACTTGTGGATTTCAAAAGGTCAGCTTTAAAGAAAAATATTGCTATAATTTTTAGAGGCTAAGATAGAAGTTTGATTGCTTCGAAAATTTCTCGACATACTATAGGAAGTAATTCAATAAAGTAATAATGCTATCAAGTCTCGTAAAGAAAAAATTAGAATTCAGTTACTCCAATAACGTCGAAGTATTTTACAAAGCAATCTAGGGGTGTCACGAGTCGAGCCACGTGTCTAAACTTGAAGCTCAAGCTTGACTTGAGCAAAAATGGTTCGGGCTTTTTTTGGCCCGAACCGAATTGAGCAAAAGCTCTGCCAAAAAACGAAAGCTCGACCTGAGTTTTCGGCTTGGGCCTAGCCGGCCAAGTTGAGCCGGCTCTTTTTTTTGGTGGCAAATTTAATTTTTTTTTCAAAAAAATTTAAAATTTGTACAATTTATATATGCGTGAATTTAAAATTCATGAATTTAAATTTATTTATTTTAATGAAGCTTGGCTCAGAGGGTCAAAATGGCCCTTGAAACAGGCCCACGGGCTGGCTCAAGCTTTCCCGGGCCAAGCCACAAGCTACTCGAGTCGACGAACATTTTTGACATCCCTAAAGTAATCTAGCCGAAAGTAATATTGACTTCAACTCGTGTAAGGAAAATATGAATTTTATTAGACTCGAATTTTGTCAAGATATTCAACAAAGTAATCCGACAGTGATGATAATAAATCCAATTACGCATGAATAATATCGATATATTATAGAAAGTATTGTAGTGAGAAGATAACAAATTGATTTTGATATTGTTGGTCAACTATTAATGCGCTTAAAATAGCGTTCAACTCAAAATGAGCAATGAAAAAAATGTTCTTTCATAAATTCACCGATATAAGTTTAGTTGCTAAATAAAGCAATGAAAATTAAAATATATTTTTTATTATACTCACAATTTTTCAACCATGTATATATTTCATCAACTTTTACAAAAAATTTCTAAAAATTTAATTTTCATCTAACCTAAACGAGGGCATTATCGATAAATTTTCGTCATTAACTAAAGTAATGAAATAAGAAATAAAACATTACCTTCAAAAATTGTCACTAATTAAATAAAATTAAAAATATAAATATAATTTCTCAACAAAAAATGTTCGTCAATAAAATAAAGTAACAAAATTTTTAAAATTAATGATGAAAATTTAAAACATTATAAACATTGATACAGGATTGTGTTAACAATTCTACGCGATGGTCTGTTACTTAACGTGCGCCCCCCTAGGACATCGACCCCCGGAGGCCCTCTACACTCGCATGGTCCGTCTATCATTATGGGGTCATCGACGTTGATGCCCACCATGCTTAACCAAATAAATGGCCAGCGGGTCGGATGAAAACCACCCAACAAGCGTAATCATGAGATAGACGAAAACCATCCAACAGCAAACGTGTGTAAAACCAACCGCAAGACAAGTGGGGATTGATGCTATAGAACGTGGGGGAGTGGAAAGGCATACGTGGGACACGTGGCACAATTAATCGTGAAACATGGGTGTGTCATCAGGTGCCTATAAATACCACAATGTGGGAAAATGTATGGTTGGATTTTCTTAGAATCAGAACTGCTTGAACTCTCAATATACTTTCTTCCTACTTTCTTTAAATACCTACTGATTCTCACACCGGAGGTACAACGGTGGAGAAAGCCCCAACCTCATTTTGCAGGTAACGTTCATTGATCGGAGCAACCGAAAAACCCCCACACGTCATCATTTTCGTGGTGGTGCATTTTGTGATTATTTCAAACATCATATTATTTTATTTGATAAAATTTTTCAGTCATACGTTATGCAAAGAAGGCATTAAATTAATTTTAAAACATTAAAATATAAATAAAGAAGTTTAAATTAAAATATAAACTAGTACTTGGTTTTACCGAATCTATTCAATGTTTTCTCTACTAGAAATTGCTTGTACAATTTCTGGCCATCATTCAACTTACCCCTATATTTCCACAGTCACGCGGAGCGGCGGTGTTATAAATATAAGTCTTCATAGCTTTTCTTAGCTCATCTGGATTTTTTTTGGTTCTGCATTTCTCATACTTCTTATATTTTCGATTCTTGCTTGGTTTAGACCTTGAATCAAGGTGAATTTCCTTATTCTTTGATTTTTGCTGTTTTTGTTTCATTTTCAAATGTTGACAATATGTTTTTACTTCGATTGCTCGGTTGCATTGTTTTTGCATTTGATGAAATGGGTCCTCATTATTAATTGTAGAATTATGAATTGTTTTGATTGGGTATCATCACCATTTCTTTCTAATTCAGTTTGGATAATACAGATATGTACGGCTTTCGTGTTTATGTGTAATATCGATTATAATTTATCTGAGGTGGGAAGAAAGTTTGTAATTGTTAATGTTCATTTAATTTACTTCAGTTCACTGTATGCCTAAATGCCACATTTCATTTTAATCCTGGATTTATATCGCTTGAATTTATTTTTTCTTTTGTTTAGCTTCAGTGACTTTTCTTGATGATCCTTAACTGAACTGATTTCTAACAATGGTTCTCTTCTTACAGGAATTCGCTACTGTTCCGTATTGAATTCAAATTCAAATGGGTAATAAGAGAAGAATTGAAGAATGTAGTGACTTTGAGAATGAAGAAGAGAAGATTTCAATACGATTTGTTGGTTTCAAGGGCCAAGATCCTGAACTCACAATGTCACAACCGATTGATTCTGGCAACAGGTTACAGAAAGTATCTGTTAACTTTCAAACAAGAGTACGTCGTGTATTGGATATCCATAAAGCATGTCCATCAGACATTATGGAGAACCACAAGAAAGAAAATCAATTGCGTGGATCAAATCGCGTGATTGATCAATTAGCTGATTCTACAGTTTTTGTTGAGCAGAGATGGTGTGTTTTTTCCCCACAATAGATCAAATTATATTCCTTTTTTTTGTTTTTGAACTTTTTTCCAAACATAATTTATTTTTTAATTGCAGGAGGAACCTGTTTGATCTTGTAGAACTCGATTACAATTCAGTGTCATTCTTCGTTCTTAAGAAGAAACAGACTCCAAGTTCACGCTGGTTGAGAGTTGGGAAGGGAGCTGCCAGAGTAAATTTGATCAAAATTGTTATTTACTTTAAACCATTTCTAGTTCTCTTATAAGAATATTTAAATGCTCAAAATTCTTTTTATGCAGGTAGGGAGAGGTTCATCCAAGAATGAGAAAGCTCGGAAACTTGTTTTAGATCATTGGCTTGAGTTAGTAAGTAACATTTCTTTATACGTTTTATGCAGCATTCCTTTTGTTTTACCTCTATTATAAATGGATACCTGACTTGTATACGTTAATGCATGTACAGATTGATGTTCAGCATCGCTATGGACAAAATCTTCGATCATACTTCAAAGAGTGGTTGCATTCTTCAACCATGGAACCCTTCTTCTACTGGTAATTTGTGATATATACCTTGTAAACCTCTGTCATTTTGTCTTGATAATCATACATATGACATGGTGGTCCTTGATTGTAATCGTGTAGGTTAGATAAAGGCGAAGGAGAGGACCTAAATCTTTTGGAAAAATGTCCTAGATTGAAACTTCAGCAGCAGTGCATCAAATATCTTGATGATGTATATTCTTTCATCTAATCATCAGATGTTATGTTTGAACAAACGGGTTTTGTAGAATTCAGAGATTTCTTACTGATTGTTTTGTATTCTTTCAGATCGAAAGGAAAGCTTATGAAGTTATAGTGGAAGATGGGAAGCTATACTACAAGCAGAGTCGGGAAATCCTTGACACCACTGGAGAACCAAATGGTGTCAAATGGGTTTTTGTGCTCAGCACCTCTAAGACATTATACATTGGACTGAAAACGAAAGGTGCATTTCATCACTCTAGCTTCTTGGCTGGAGAAGCCACGTCTGCTGCAGGGAGGATAATTGTTGAAAAAGGCACTATTAAAGTAATATTCTTATAAAAGCAATCCAACTTTTCTTACTATTGTAACACTGCTTCGTTAATTTAAGTTTGAATATTGTATTCTGACAGGAATTGGGGCGTCAGAGCGGCCACTATCGACCAACTGAAGAAAATTTCCAGGACTTCCTATCATTTCTTAGGGAGAAAAATGTGAATGTGACACACATTAAGGTACAGAAACAGTGAAATTTTATGTAATTGCTTTTTCATTGCCTTGGCATGGTGGCAAGGATAGAGAGATCTGGAGTTGGACCTTATGGTTGAAACTTCACCACGAGCATATTTGGCTTAGTTTAAAAAACTCACTTATGAGTTAATTTTCTTTGAAGTTACCAAGTTAGCTTTAAAATACAGTTACTTATGTGGACATTTAGACAAAAAAGTTTCTTAAAGAGTGATTATACCTCTTCTATGGGCTTATTATCTAAACGTGCTCTTAAAATGGAAACTTTTGTACCTTCTCTCACTTTGCTTCCTTTTCCTCAATTTCCTTTCTTAACATAGAACAGAAGTTGAAAGGTTCATGGAATTTACTTTCATGTTGTTATTCAGCTAAATTCAGTGGACGACAAAGAACCACTAGGCCGGAAGCGCAGATGTTTATTGAGAAATGACTCATTCGATGACATTCCCGATGATATATTGGTGATAGAAAAGGATGACCTAGACGTCTCAACTTTAGAGAAGGTCTCTGTTGCTTCAGCAGAATTATCATCCCAAATGCCTTCTTAAAACTCGATCAATATTCAGACGCCAAGTGAGGATGATCGATGGAGTTTGTGCAAAGATCAAAAGGTTGAATCAAACTCCTATAGTTTCGTTCTAGATTCTACGCAGATTGAATTAAAGCAGTGGAAACATTCTTTTCTTCAATTCTTTATTCTTTCAATTTTATTTTTTAAATTCTTGTACAAAAATTCTTCCTGTGGCGTATTGAAGCAGGAAATCCTGAAGAAGTTGAATAAATGACAAATTATTGTATAATGTTGACCATGCAGCATTAAGTATTTATTTCTCCAGTGCTCTCTCTCTCTGAAACAATTTACAATCAGAATTTTTTTTACAAGATCTTTGACTCGATTTTTCATGAAAACAAACCTTTCATTTAAATTTACGGTTTTGGTGGTACGGAATTGTTGATCTCCAAATCTGGTGAGATACGCGGCCAACATCTCCATGTCCACCTAAGCATCACTTGCACGCTAAAACACAATGTGAGTTAGGGTACAAAACACAGGTAACTGGTCGGAAAAAAAATTCAACAATCTTACGCACTCTAGTGGTCAAGTCGACTGTGGTAACGAAATAGAATGAGTGCAAGAGAGATGGGTGATGAGGATATGTTGGTCACGTGTAGAGTCTCTATGATTTGTACATCAGAAATCAATATACCCTGTAATTATAAATTTATAATGAACTTTAGACAAATTATTAGCAACATAGAGGCTCAGAATGCATTGTGTTTCTGACGCTCTTTCAAGATATACCATTAGCTTGGATAATCACAGATGGTTGGTTATCTGCAACCGAGATTTAATCACATATTGCTTCACAAAAGCCCTTGACGCCCTCTGAATATTTGGAAAATCATGGCAAACGTGATATAGTGTCTCTCTTGAGATTTCAAGCTTGTCCACAGTCTCTTCTCTAAGTAATCGAGATATTATTATTTTCATTTTTCTTAGGGCTCTATCAATTTTGGCCTGAAACATACTAGTCTACAATTTCAAGAACATATCGTCCTCTTCTTACTGAGACAAAGGTACCACTTCTGGATACTCGATACCAGGGGAGGAGCAAGGATTGTAGAATTGTAGAAGCACATTAAGTGATAATATGAATTATAGTTTCAAAAGGTGGACAAAACTAAGATCTATCGCCGAGTCCAACATAGTGCTCAGAAAGTTCAAGACTTACCTTTCCAAGCAAGTTTAATGAAGCTTTGAACTTGATATACCAACACATGGTCCTTAAACCATTTGGAAGAACATAAAGACTGGGTTACCTTTAGACTGTTCGAAAGAATTTAAATATCGGCTGCCATTAAGAAGTTCAAAAGAATTTAATCACAAGATTGCCTTCCGATTGTTTAAAGAATTTAGACTCAATGTCAATCGAACTATTTAGAAGAATATAACCACACAATTGCCTTGAGACTATTTAGAAGAACTTGAAGATTCGGTTGCCTTCAAACTATTCCAAAGAATTTAAAAACACGGTTGTCTTCAAATTGTTCAGAAAAACTTGAAGACTAAAGTTTGGGCTCCATTAAAATTAGTTTTTGGAGAAAAATGTATTTTAGAATAGTGATTTTTTGAAAAATGTGTGGTTAAAAAAAGGAAAAATTTTAGGTTTACGTTTAATATTTATTTTATTGGAGAATATGTAGTTGAAAAGAAGAAAGAAAATATACATTTTGGAATAAAATGGAGCCCGTAAAGAGCTAAGTTATTTTCAAAACATCAAGACATGGTAGTCGGATCATTTAGTAAAGGACATAGTACATCATACCTTTTTATCTATGATAAATCGAGTTATTTATACATGAAAAAAAAACTTTCATTCTCAAATATTGGTCTAAATATTTACAAAGTTTATTCATTTATAAATTCCTCACGTGTGTATATTTCACATAAAAAATGTACAATTGTTAAATGAAGTACAATTTTCCTTAAAGCGTAAAACATGTTCCAAGTACTTGATTTTGCTTTGATAAATTGATTGTCTGGGCACAATTTTCTAGTTCAAATAATTGCGTTATTGACTGTTAATAGCAAGGAAAAACTCACTTGTACAATCATTAGATGATTGTAAACCTTACAATCATATAATGATTGTACACCAAGTATAACTCTAATAGCAATGAGGGTCCCACTAATTGTGAGGAGGAAGTCAACATGTGCGGCTGTCAACAGTACAAAAATGAATTAAAATCTTGGGAAAAATTGCTCCGAGACCGCCCCTTTGAATGCATCTCATATTCCAAAAACTTCATTTAAAGTCTGAAAGTCAGAGCCTACCAAACTGGAAACTCACGGTCAAGTCTAATGTACTAGTCAAAAAAGTTGGCATACAGTCACAAATGAGGCCAGTCGCTGCATAATTCTGACTATGGCTTTCTATGGCTTTTCTTCCTTCAAAAGCATAGAAGTGATGTCACTCAGGGAAAAAAAAAATCAAAAAAAATTTTATGGGGTCAATTCACCCCCCACATGGTTCCGTGTGGGTCCGCCTTTGCTCGATACATGTAATCTTAGAAAACATTGGTGCATGCTTGGTACAAAGAACTAAATGGTACTCGACATTATAATGCAAAATACTTTCTAATATAACTTACAAAATCCCTTGGCGAATAGTGAACTCAAGCAAATATATTTATCCTCAAAAGTCATTTAGTTACAAATACAGGTACCTAGAATACCTAGCTTCTTCGCTGTTAACCCCCATCAAACGATTCTTTTGCCATATTTGACACGGATTTGTTCACTAAATATGAGCCTAATACCACTTTCTTCACATTCAAACTGAGACCTGTGTAAATACAATATCCTTAAAACAGAACGTCTATTTCCCAAGAAACAATGGGGAAACAAGTAAAAATTGAGAACTAAGAATCTACACCGACGAATTGAATTTCATCTAAACACTATTGTCAATATTTGGACAGGAAAAATTCTGGACAAACAAAGCAGGGAATATATTTTGGGAAAGAGAAATTCGTCCAAAAAACTGATCAGCCTCTCTAATAGGCTCTAATGAGTGATTTAATAGACCATTAACACGAACATTAACCCAATAATTAATAACCACAAAAGTTCCATGAGCTAGGAGAGTTGGAAATAAATAAAATATTTAAATAGGAAAAATAAAGGCTAGACCCTATCAAGGGGGCAAATTTCGATTTGACATTCTAGTAGGCAGGTTTAACTCTCACACGAATTCAATAGTCCGATGTGCTAATCCAGTTAATGATTTGCATCTCATTACGCATGCGCATGGAGAGAGTCTCTATACTACGTACACGTGATTACACCTTTGTAAAATGTGGACATCAAGCTACAATTTTTCATCAAGCTCAAAAAAAAAAAGGCATGGAACCTTTCATCATCACAATTAACAAACGTGAAAGAAAATTGAAACTTTAAACAACCAATTTATTTCACACCGTTTAGATATAAATAAGCATTGATTACAGAAATTCAATCTACATTATAATAAAGAAGTCGAAATCTCGATTTTCGTAGAAAATATGAAGGATCAATGCCGGGCAAACAGGTTGAAATCCAATTCCTCCATGAGTAGGACTTTTATGGTCTTGTTGTCAGTCTTCCTGATCAAGTATGGAAGTGTTAAAGTTCATAAGCCAATAGAACAGGACGATCATGTTTATTACACAGTATTCGATAAAATTAAACAATAGACAATTTGAACTTTGTTGTCATATCTAGCACTGTCTAATACTGTCCTAAATCCACAAGTATGAAATAGCGTATAAGAATAAAGAAGCGCGAAAGCGTACCTTTCAAAAAACATTTATTTGTAAATCCTGTAATCCAGGATCAACAAATTTGTCTTCCTCCTCATTTGCGCCGAAAAGAGGGGCATCAAGCTCAGGAGGATTCTGAAGAACAGATAGACATGCAATACAAGTGTATTTACAAAGATCAGAAAATGCTCTTCAGATAGACATGCAATATAAGTGTATTTACAAAGATCAGAAAATGCTCAGCATTTATCTCCTTTAATTTCTTGAAGCCTATAAGCTTACGGGAAAATTTATTTTGTTGAAAGGCACACTGTTCTCGTCCTAACCGTAAAGAAATGAATTCACATTATCTATTGTTTATCAGCATTACCATGCAACGGACAAGAGCCCAATTTACACCCCTGAAAAATGGAAGCTGCTTCACTTCATTTGCTCCTTCTCGTGATCCTAGCCTGTTTTTGGGATCTCTGTGCAACAATCGATACATTAATTGCTTTGCTTGGAGACTAACCTGCATCGGGAGAAAGTTTTTTAAATTCTGTTGCATTTCAATCATTATGAGATGAGCGATTAATTTCTTTCCAGCAAAACATACAGATTTTATAATAGAAGAACGTGTGTTCTTTGATTATACGGTTAGAATAGTTATCTAAACTATATATTACAAGAAAAAGGAAGATCAAGAAAAACAATAACTATAATTTTCAATGAGCATATGTTTCACTCACATCTTTACTAGCAGGAAATTTAAGATCCTTATGCAGAACGTTGGCAAATGTCTTCTGCCTCGTCTTTCCCCTGAATGGTGTGTATCCATAGAGCATTTCGTATAACAGAATGCCTATCAATCGGACAGAAGTAAATCAGTAAAAGAGGCTAGCTTAGTATTTTGCAGATGCCATCTAATTTGAACATAATATTGGACATAAGAAATTTTAAAAAAAAAATGGCATACAGATATCATCTAGTCTCGAATTTATTTCAGAGCTGAATCAAAGAATAAAAATTACCAAGGGCCCACCAGTCGACTGCGCTAGTGTGACCTGCTCCAGTAATGATTTCCTGTAGAGACCAATAATCTCCAAGGTCAGGTACTTTGTGGAAGATATTCCTTGTGGTAAAAAATTATAGTTTGGAAAAAATGAAAGAAGAACCAATAAATATCAGAATGTGAATAGGTATTCAGTCTTTAGCTGTTAGATACATCAAATAATCACTCGAGATCCATGAGACAACAAAAGAATACCAACCGGAGCTATGTATTCTTCAGTCCCAACAAAAGAATTTGATGCTCGCATTGGTTCGGCCATGAAGATTGGAGCCTGTCGACCCTTTTGATGCTTTTTCTTTTCATTTATTTCTGGAATCAAAAGCTGCAGAAAGCACAGCAAAAAAGACAATGAGTTTTTGTAATCATAACTCATTCTCTTACAATTTCGAAAGTTGAGTTTAGTAGGAGGAGGAAGACCATAGAGATTGAAGAGACCTGGGGCTTGCAAGAAGTTAAACAGGACAAATCGAAGTCTGTCAAAGACACGTGCCCGTTGCCTTGAAGCAAAACATTTTCAGGCTTTAAATCCCTGTAAATTATACCTGCACGAAAACAGAGAAATAACTGAAAAATCATAGAAATAGATACTCCATCAACTTTAATCAGTAAGCAATAAGTAGAAATTTAGCACAGGATAAAACTTTTACGGTGATTTCTGAACTATTACTGCTGATATGTCAAAAAAAAAAAAAAAAATTCAAGAAAGAATCCAAATCAACTAGCATTTGATAAGTTGATGTATCAACTATGATTTTTCTATTGAAGTTCGAAAGACGACAATCCTGAATATTTGTTATCCTAATTTGTTCGTAAGTAAGATGTCAAGATAGTTCATTGTTAGACAGAATGTATAATAACTTTCACACATTAAGTTCTACCTTGACAGTGAAGATACTCCAGTGCCACTACAACTTCAGCAGCATAGAATCTACAGTACACAACATTCTCGTGTCAGTTACATCAACAAAATTACAATCATCAAAAGAAAGGAACTTTTCATTCAGAAATGATCACTATATCAAGTTTGCCAGTAGAAATCCTCCATAAAATTCGGTATAATGGAAAAGATCAAAAAGTAATGAAATTCAAGAAATCCAATATTCGTATTTTCCATAATCCACTCGTTGAAATGCAAAGTTTTTTGCGCCATCTTAAGCTTAGAACAAATAAAGGATGTGTACATGTACAAATATTAAAGGATAGGAGAATCATTTGTAAATCATCATAGATTAATTATGTCCGAATTATACACAAACTATTGCTCAAGGACCTAATTGATCATCTTACATTAGTTTAGGTCCTTCTTTGTAATAAAGATATTTTGTTTAGTTCGTTTTCATTTTTCCCTCTTTTCCTTTCCGTCTATAAATAGACTCTATTGCTGTATTTCAATTTCTGATTTGATTGAGTGAAATAAATAAAATTGTTGATTCCATCTGTTTGAACATGGTATCAGAGAGCTTAGGTTCTGGAATTTCAGAATTGCAAGCTACGAATTAATTGAAGAAGGAGGAGTTTGAGCTCAGGATTGAGCTGCAATGGCCGGAAATCGAAATATAGATCTACTTCCTGCAGAACTCAGGTACGACCAGACGAATCAAGGAAATGGAAGGCAAATTGAAATGAATGCTGCAGATCCGTTGTTCCTACATAGTTCAGATCATCCAGGAATGATGTTAGTCACAACGCCTTTGACTGGGAAGAATTTTTTGGCGTGGAGCAGATCTATTAAAATTGCCCTTGGACCTAAAATGAATTTAGGGCTTATCGATGGAAGTATTGAAATACCTAAGAAGACTTGACCGAACTATGAAAAATGGTTGAGAGTGAATTATATGATCACTTCGTGGTTACTGAACTCAATTTCAAAAGAGATTGTTGAAGCTTTTTTATACACCAACACTGCTAGAGAGTTATGGATGGAGACTGAAGAGAGATTTGGAACTTGTAATGGTCCTATGCTATATCAGATCCAGCGAGAAATCAGTTCTATATCCCAAGGTAATATGTCTATTTCAGAATATTACACAAAATTGAAAAGACTATGGGATGAATTGACCTTCTTAATGCCTATACCTGAATGCACTTGTGATTCAGCTAAGTCAGTATCAGAAATGACTTCGTTTAATAGACTCATGCAGTTTATCATGGGGCTGAATGATGAATTTGAACATACTCGAAGTCAGATCCTAGTTATGGATCCTTTACCACCAGTAAATAAAGCCTATTCTATGATCCAAAGGGTGGAAAAATAGAGAGAGATTCAGATATCCTATGAAGAACATAATGAAGTCAGTGCTATGAATGTAAAAACTCAGGGGTATAAAAAGGTTGGAGGAGGCAGAGGATATGGTAGAAAATTCGATATGAGCAAGAAAGAGAAGAGGAATCAATTTTGCACAAATTGTAATACTCTAGGACATAGTAGAGACTGTTGTTTTAAATTGATTGGATATCCGGACTGGTTCAAACAACTCAGTGAGCAGAAAAGGAAATCTGGAGGAAGATTTTCTGCAAATATGGTAGATTCACCACTTGAGATAGGAAGTGAAGTAAATACTAGAGGATTTGAAGATCAATAAAAGAACATAAATATTTCTGAAATTGTCAAACAGGAACTCAAGAAGCTGGTGAATGGAAAGGGAACTAGCACTGGCACTGGAAGCAGTGTAAATTTTGCTCATATAGACGATTGTGCAGGTTCATCTCTTAAACTTGAATTTAATTATGCTCTGAGTGCTTCCAGCTTAATAGGATCTAACTCATGGATTGTCGATACTGGAGCCTCTAATCACATGTGCAATGACATTTCATATTTGCAAAATCCTATACCTACTGACAAAACAATTCCAGTTTTCCTACCTGATGGTACTACAAACTTTGTTAAACATCTTGGCAGCGTTCATTTACATGATAACCTCATACTCACTGACACTCTTCACATTCCTATCTTCAGATTCAATCTATTGTCAGTGAGTAAGTTAACAAAAGCCTTAAAGCTGAAATTTATTTTCATGAAAGATCATTGCCTTTTGCAGGACCTGTTGACTGAGGAGATAATAGCTGTAGGAAGGCTGGTAAAGAACCTATATGTGCTTGATGAGACCTCTTTCTTTGAATCAACCATTAAGTCTTTCGTTCCCATTACTTGTAATTCTTTTTTTTCCAATAATTCTTCTCTTGTTGACAATAGTAAAACCAGAGCTGAGTCAGTCACTCTTTGGCATAGAAGGTTAGGGCATGCTTCAGGAAATGTTATGACATATTTGAAAATGATGAGTCCATTCAAAAAAGAGATCATTTCGCCTTGTGATGTTTGTTCTTTTTCTAAACAACATAGACTATCTTTTAATAGTTGTGATATTCAAACATCTGAGATATTTGACATTTTGCATGTGGATTTATGGGGACCATATAAATATAGGTCTATTTGTGGGGCATACTATTTTTTAACCGTGGTAGATGATTTTAGTAGAGGCACTTAGACATTTTTAATCAAGCACAAAACTCAGGTTCTGATTACTTTGAAGAATTTGCGCAAAATGGTTAAAACCCAATTTTAAAAAAACATAAAATGCTTGAGGACTGATAATAGAACTGAGTTTACAAACTTTGAAATGAGGGATTTTTTAGCTGAAAATGGGATTCTTCATCAAAGAAGTTGCCATTATAGTCCTCAACAAAATGGTATTGTTGAGAGGAAACATAAGCATCTCTTGCAAATAGCTAGAGCTCTCATGTTTCAATCAAGTTTACCAAAATGTTTTTGGGGAGAATCTATTTTGATGGCAACACATATCATTAATAAACTGCCTACTGCCATACTTAACTGAAAACGCCCTATGAAATCTTGCATAAGAAAATGCCTACTTATCACAATTTGAAGGTTTTTGGATGTTTTTATTATGCAACTAACACAAAACCTTTCAAAGAAAAATTTGCACTACGAAGCTTTAAATGTATTTTGCTAGGTTATAACACAGGGCAAAAGGGTTTTAAGTTGTATGATCTCATCAATAAAGAAGTTTTTGTGTCTCGTGATGTCATTTTCCATGAGGAGGTTTTTCCTTATAAAGTTTTTTTTCCAATAATTCTTCTCTTGTTGACAATAGTAAAACCAGAGTTGAGTCAGTCACTCTTTGGCATAGAAGGTTAGGGCCTGCTTCTGGAAATGTCATGAAATATTTGAAAATGATGAGTCCATTCAACAAAGAGATCCTTTTGCCTTGTGATGTTTGTTTTTTTTCTAAACAACATAGACTATCTTTCAATAGTTGTGACATTCAAACATCTGAAATATTTAACATTTTGCATGTGGATTTATGGGGACCATATAAATATAGGTCTATTTGTGGGGCACACTATTTTTTAACCGTGGTAGATGATTTTAGTATAGGCACTTGGACATTTTAATCAAGCACAAAACTCAGGTTCTTGTTACTTTGAAGAATTTGCACAAAATGGTTAAAACTCAATTTGAAAAAAAACATAAAATGCTTAAGGACTGATAATGGAACCGAGTTTACAAACTTTGAACTGAGAAATTGTTTAGCTGAAAATGGGATTCTTCATCAAAAAAGTTGCCCTTATATGCCTCAACAAAATGGTATTATTGAGAGGAAACATAAGCACCTCTTGCAAATAGCTAGAGCTCTTATATTTCAGTCAAGTTTACCAAAATGTTTTTGGGGAGAATCTATTTTGATGGCAACACATATCATTAATAAACTGCCCACTGCCATACTTAATTGGAAAACGCCTTATGAGATCTTGCGTAAGAAAATGCCTACTTATCACAATTTGAAGGTTTTTGGATGTTTGTGTTATGCTACTAACATAAAACCTTTCAAAGAAAAATTTGCACCACGAAGTTTTAAATGTATTTTGCTAGGTTATAGCACATGGCAAAAGGGTTTTAAATTGTATGATCTCATCAATAAAGAAGTTTTTGTGTCTCGTGGTGTTATTTTTCATGAGGAGGTTTTTCCTTATAAAGAGGCTTCTCATTTCCGGCCTCATATACCTATACTTGTGTTTGATTTGTCCTCTGAAGAAGTTCCATATGTGATTGCTGATCTTGACAACCAAAATGATTCTCAACTTTTATCTAATGGTTCTACTAATATTAACCAACCTACGGCTGCTTATCATCTCAGTCAGGAAAAGACAGGTCAATCAGATGATTCCACACATTCCTCCTTAAATCAAATTGTTCATCATCAGACCGTTCCTCTTACTAGAAAAAGTAACAGACAGAAAACTGCACCTACTTGGATGCAGGATTTTGTGAGTAATTTGTCATACTCTTCTTCTATTCCTCTACCTGATACATTAAGATCTTCTTCATACACTCCAAATACCTATCCCTTCCATAAATCTGAAAATTTTAACCCAAGTTACTATCTTTTTCTGGCTAACATATCTACAATCTAAGAACCAAAATCCTATAAAGAGGCTAGCAAAATGACTGAATGGATTCAAGCTATGAAGAGTGAAATTGCAACCTTGGAACAAAATAAGACCTGGGAGATTGTTCCCCTGCCTCCAGGAAAAAATCCCATTGGATCGAAGTGGGTTTATAAAGCTAAGCTGAAGCCTGATGGAACTCTGGATAGATGTAAAGTTAGGCTAGTGGCGAAGGGGTATAATCAGGTGGCTGGAGTTGATTATATGGACAGCTTCTCCCCTGTAGCTAGATCAGTGACAATCAGATTGTTTTTTTTCCATTTCATCTGCAAAAAATTGGCCTATATATCAGCTGGATATAAATAATGTTTTCTTGCACGATTTTCTGGAAGAAGAGTTATATCTTTGGCCTCCAAAAGGTTACAAGAAGATGAAGGAAGGTGAAGTGTGTAAACTAAAAAGGTCCCTTTATGGTTTAAAACAGGCTAGTCGACAATGGAATTCAGAATTTTGCAAGCATTTACAAGTATATGGTTTTGCACAGTCTACACATGATAACTGCCTCTTCATTCTCCGTTCAGATCATGCTATTACAGTTCTTCTTGTCTATGTGAATGATGTTCTCATCACTGGAACAGATGACAATGAAATTCAGAAAGTCAAGCAATTTCTTGATACTACTTTCACCATCAAAGACTTAGGCCATGCTAAATATTTTCTGGGGATAGAGATAGCTCGTTGCTCAGACGGTTTGTACCTTAACCAAAGAAAATATGCCATGGATATTATTGCTGATGTTGGTTTGATGGGATCAAAACCTGTGGATATCCCACTGCCAAAGGGACATAAGTTCACCGCTGATGGCGTTTCATATCAACAACCTTAATCTTACCAGGCTAGACTTGTCTTATGCCGTCCAGCAGCTAAGTCAATTTGTTAATTCACCAAACGTTTTACATTGGGAATCTGCTTTGTGCTTACTAAGGTACATCAAGGGGACTATGTCAAAAGGTCTTTTCTTCCCTTCCTCCAACAGTTTCAAGCTTGCAGCCTACTGTGATGCAGATTGGGCCTCTTGCCAGGACTCTAGGAAGTCTTTAACTAGTTATTGTATTTTTTTTTTGGGCGGAGCTCTTATCTCCTGGAAATCAAAGAAGCAGCAAACAGTTTCGGGAAGCTCTGCAGAGGCTGAATATCGGAGCATGGCTGCAACTGTTTGTGAAATTCAATGGATTACAAATCTTCTTCAGGATTTTGCATTGAGCTTCATCTTCCGATTCCTCTATCGTGTGACAATCGAGGCTGCCCTCCATATCAGTGCTAATCCTGTATTCCACGAGCGCACGAAACATCTTGATATTGACTGTCATGTGGTTCGTAATCAGTACAAGGCCGGTCTCATCCTTCCACAGCATGTTTCTTCCAATGCTCAGGTTGCGGATGTCTTCACGAAATCTCTTTCATTTCCTCAGTTCAAGTTCTTAGTTTCCAAGTTGGGTTTGATGGATTTCCATCAAAATCCAACTTGAGGGGGGATGTCCGAATTATACACAAACTTTTCCTCAAGGACCTAATTGATCATCTTACATTAGTTTAGGTCCTTCTTTGTAATAAAGATAGTTTGTTTAGTTCGTTTTCATTTTTCCCTCTTTTCCTTTTCGTCTATAAATAGACTCTATTGCTGTATTTCAATTTCTGATTTGATTGAGTGAAATAAATAAAATTGTCGATTCCATCTGTTTGAACAAATTATATGTTCACATATACAACAGCCTAATATCAATCAGCCGTTGGATGTGCTTTTCTTATACTAATAAGTTATAGAAATGGTATGTTCATCAGTACAAAGATATGCTTTTTCTACCTTACAGCGTCTTCTTTCAAAACTTTTGTAGGCTGTCTGTCGAGAAGTAGAAAGAGCTCTCCACCAGGGTAGTAATCAGTTATCAAACAAATATGAGTTTTGGTCTGCAAAATAACTTGAATCAACTACCCCAAAATCTCCAGAGAAAGTGGCAAAGAAACGCGAGATACACATATTAACATACTCTGATTATAGAATCAAATGTAGTTAATAAAAATTTTGATTAAAATAAAAAACTTTTATTTTATATGGATGGCTAAATCTACAGCCATACTTTTCACTGAATGAAATAACCAATTTTGCAACACAAAAATTTTTCAAGTTACTGTTATCATGTATCATTATGCAACTGCAAAGAATTTCAAAATTTTCCATCTAACCTGAAATGAAGCATACAATGCAGGAAGAAAAGGGTGGTCCAACATGTCTAGTATCTCTCTTTCTGCACAAGCTCTGTGCACCTGCAGTAGAGAAAGAGTAGACAATTCAGAGAGACGGAAGCACAGTATGAACTTAAACTGCACAATCTAAGAAATTGGAAAATATTCGAGCTTGGTATATGCATACATGGGAAAATAAATTGAAAAATCTGTTTATACCTTGTTTCGGTTGAGCATCACGCCCTTATCCATTGCTTTCATGGCAAATTGATGTTCAGTTCCACATAGTTCTACTAGATGCACACTGCATGTCATCAATAAGCAATTATGCAATTTCTTATGTATCCAGTCTATTAAATTTGGATTACTGAAAGTAATAATTTCCAAAGAAAGATAATTAGTTCAAAAAATAGTTCAAAATCTATAATAACATATTATGAGTAACACATACCTTCCAGTGTCACCTGATCCTAGTGGTTTTATTGGCCTAAAATGTTTCAAGTCTATCTGTTCTCCACTGTCCAGAATCTGTCGAGTAACAATGCAATCAAACAGCATATTAGTACGAGCACCAATGCATAACATTTGATGCAAAAATATCTGGTAAAAGCTTAAAATTCAGAGCTGTCCATTTGATCTGAATACACTTGCATAAACATTTATATTTTCGGATACTACCTTTTGAATTGCGTTCCAAGACGCACTACCCTTCCTATGGGGCTTTGGGTGAACGACTTTTGAATGATTTGCCCATAAGTCCTCGGGTTTCTGCATTTTGAGTTCAGATCACGAGTTCTTTGTCAAGTTCAAACCTAACGTTTCCAACAGCAATTTCATAATAATTTTGACATTACCATATTGGCATCCGGAAGCTCCCTCACAGCTTCATCAACATTTTCAGCTGTTTCTTTCACCTAAGAATGATCAAATACAAACCATGTCACGATTTTATCTATAATAGTGCATTTTGATAATTAATAACTAAAGCATAAGATCACGAAAAACTGAAGAAAAATAATAGGGTATACCCGCTTAGCACTCTCCTGTGCAGTGACCTCAGGAATACAGTTATGAAGCGGTTCTACATGCTCGCTTCCATCTAGCTGCACTCCAATAAAATACTGCACTTCTCCCTATTCAAACAGAAGCAGATACAGGATTAGCAAGGCGTCAATTTCCGCCTTCCCAATGAAGTATAAAAGCAGCACATGATATTTATACCTTCTGATCACGCATAGGCTGCAGATGAAACAAGTTCCAGAACTTTTTGCCTGCATAATGAAATTTGAACTAGTTACCATCCATTTAAAAGTTCGAACACCTAATACTTCAACAAAGGATATAGCGTGGATCTTTCGTTTTAAGCATAAAATGATTGATTTCTCATGAATCCATAGACATTATTTACATATCCTACATTTGCAGTCCCAAGTCTAGTGCTCAAGATTCAAGTGGAAATTATCACATGTCCTCATATGATTACCGAGTCAATACTATATATGTAAAAGTAGTGCAAAGAATCATTTCATAAGGCATTTAACATACCACTTTTCGTGTAATTGATGAGTTGCACTGTGACGTCTCTCTGGTTATCAATTGCCTCCCTGATTTTCCTCACGGTTGCTGGATCAGTTTCAGGGCCTTGAAGAAATCTGCAAATGTGCACGGCAAATCATATAAGTCGTACTTCCAATTTGTTCTATGCAATCTTCAAAATTATCAGGAATTAATTTGTGCTTCACACTACTAAATGCAACACGATAGATCTTTCATCAGTTATCAGCAATTCAGTCTGCAGTTTTCCAAAAGAAAACTGAGAACTTACCTGCAATTTCTTCCCAGGATTTCTTCTCGACTGTACTCTGTCAGTTCCAAGAAACTATCTGATGCAAAAATCTAACAATTTAACCAACAAAAACGATCAGAATTGTGTCGTCCATTTCAATATGTAAAAAGGATTGGATATCACTGAACATTACTGTCCAGTCTTATACAGTATAGCACACCAAACATGTACTACAACTATTTACTTCTTACAATGGGATTATTAGGCAGCCTCGGATCAGTAATCACAAAGTTCTTCTCTATACGTTCGAGTGTTGTGGCTAAATCAATTCCCTTTCTCATTTCCTTTTTTCGAACTTTGTCATCAACACTATCTGGCCTTGCATCGTCGTCACTCTCCGAAGAATTATCTTTATCATCCTCATCCATTGTAACAATATTGTCCTCAAATTCTTCAGCAGCACTTGATCGTTTACCTTTCCTTAAAATCCTGTAACAGCATAAATTTAAATTTTCACACATTCATCAACACAGGAACTAGCCTGTTTGCCTAAGCTTAAAACTTTATTTGTAAGTAAATAAATAGGTTTTTAGTTTACTTTTGATCAAAGTAGAAAGTGACTTAAGCATGTTTGGCTAAGCCTTCAAAGGATTTGAGTTGCTATTAACTTTTTCCCCCAACATGTTTTGATAAGTTATAGTTTTCTTATTTTAAGTGATAACAAGATCCTTTTTACGAAAGCAATAAGTATCTTTCACTAATAAAAAGTTATTTATTCTGAAACATACTTTTCCACTTCTAAGTATATTTACTTACAAACTGAACTTTTCAAGATTTGACAAACATTGCGATATTATTTGCCAAACATGCCTCGTAATCAAAACGTAAGTATCAAAATAAAACAAAACAAAAGGTTAAGCTTAGCCAAGCATGTCATTTTCACTCAAAGAATGAAAATCAAAATACTTGAATACGTACGCCATGAAAGATTTACGGCTAGATTTCTTCTGAGGCTTCTCTGGGACCTCTATGATTTTCTGCATTGAACTTCTCGTTCCGGCATGGGAATGGCGCCTAGCAGGGTGAGCCGGAGCCTTGTTTTCAGAGTTTCGCCCATTAATGGGGTCAAATTTTTCTAGCCCACTGTCTTCAGATTTTCGCATTAAAGGTCGATTTGTGGATTCGCTCAATGCCCTTGCTCTGGGTTTCTTCACTGCCTCGAGTAACTCAGTTACTGAACTCGACGCCATCTCCTTCTGCCGCGCTGCATAAACCAATTTTGGATTACATCAATTTTTCTTTTCTCCATTTTGTTCAAACTAATTTTAGGACTGAAAACGGTGAGATACTATATGGATAGCATGCATGCATAATAAATAAATAAATAGTTTAGGCAATAAGTGGGTTACCATCGTAGCGGATCAATGATTCGGGAAGCCCATTGGGCCGGGTCACCCTTTCCTTGGCGCCCTCTGTGTGCTTGCTTACTTCAACTTGCATTCTGCCAGCAAAAATGAAATTTTTTACTTTTCATCTGATCAATGAAATGTACCAAAATCAACGGCTATGCATTTTTGTCTAAAAGGGGATACATTTTTCATTAATTACACAGAGAGCTTGTTTGAGAATAATTAAAATTCAATTAAAATTGAAAATATAGTCGTTATTGGGTCCCACTCGTCTAATAAAAATCAACTCTAACGACTATATTTTCGATTTTAATCCGATTTTAATCCCTCCTAAACAATCAATCTATCAATTCACAAAAATGAGACATTTCCAAAATTGGCCCCAGAATAAAAGGCAATAATTATTGAAGGGATAAGAAGCATATTCATTTCCAGCTATATTGATCTGATAGGGGACTGATGCATGTTCTTCCAGTTGGAATGGCCCATAATTTGGACAAGCCATTCCTCTCTTTTTTTTTTTTTTTCAAAATAATACATTTTTTTCAATAACACATTTTTCAATAAAATAATATTCAAAAATGCTACTTGTACATCAAAGTGTACATCACACTCACATGGGGATGGGACCCACTTGTATAAAATATTTTTTTATTGAAGCGGATTTCACCCCATGTGAGTGTGATGTACACGCCGATGTAAACCTTGATGTACCGGTAACAAAACCGGATAATATTACACACAATCTAAAAACTTTTCATTTATTTTTAACCAGTTATTTTAATTTTTAATCAATCAAAAAATTATTTTAATAATTAAAAATAATACTTACCAAACATCTAAAACAGATTTATAGGAACTTTATATTTTTTTTCACAAGTTTCCAACAAAAAGATAAGTTTCGAATAGAAATCAACATTTAAGTTTTAATGTAAAAAGATAACGTAAAACGATTGTCGTTGAAAGCTATATAAAGTGACAAGCTACTTGGCTTGACATTTCCTTCACGCATCGCACTTAGACGACGCCTTGATGTGCCGTTTAAAACATTGTTTTTGACCACACACCCTCTATTAATTTATTATTCTAAAATACATTTAAAAAAAAAAAATGAGACTCCGACAAGCCCTAAATGTTTCTAATCACTTATTTATACCTTTTTACTTATTGCACGGCACACAAAAACTTCATGTTTCTGTATATTTTAAAAAGCGCAATAATGATTACTCAATCAATATACAATATTTAACTATTGGATCATGCTATTCGTACACGGGCGTTTACACGCCCGTGTACCTGGCCCCACGCCCCCCACACACAATGGGAGGACCCGCTCCATTATTTTATTCACCTCGGGCCCCCCTCATTGTGAGGGGGGCGGTGGGGTAGTGTACCCGGGCGAGTAAACGCCCGGGTACGAATGGCTTTGGCCTTAACCATTTTATCCAAGCTATTAAAAGCACGCTTCGTCACACTCAGAATAAAGATGAAATTGAATCACATTATTTTGAAAGAATTTATTTTAGAATAGTAAATTGATTGAGAATGTGTAGTTGAAAAAGAAAGAAAAATTATTAATATGATGGAAAATATTATTTTATTGAAAAATGTGTTGTTAAAAATAAGTAGAAAAATAAAAATGAGAATTTTAATATGGCTCAAACAAAAGCTAAACTTAGTTTCTAAATAAATTGTAAAACTTACCCAATATATTTGAGAACTTTTCCATTTTCATCCTTGATGGGTGCAATTGTTAGGAGATTCCAAAAAGGGGTCCCATCTTTCTTGTAATTCAGCAACCTACCACAATAAGTTGTTCCTGAATCTAATGCCTCCCTGATCTTCGCCACGTCCTCGGGATTTGTATCCTTACCTTGTAAGAACCGACTGATTCGCGCCAAACAGTGTCAAAATTCGACCCAACAATTATAATTTTGTCAAATAATTCTTGACCCCTGTTCTTTTTTGTGTCCATTATTTTAAAACTATTTTTGCTATAAAATCATTTTCAATAATATATTCACACGATAAATATTCTAAACTCAAAATTTTTCTTTATTTTTTAGTCTCTGTAGTCGAACATATCGTGCAATTAAAAAAATTGAAATTTGTGCACGTGTCAAGACTTGATAAAAAATGAATTCGACATGTGTGGGGGTCGTATTGAAGATTAATAGCTTAAACTTTAGGCAAGTGACATTGCCTGCTCGTCTATCAGCTCTACTCAAACATTAACTGTACGCTATTGAAAGATATCTAGTTAATTTAGTACCAGTTCCTGCCTACGACCTCCCTGGACGTGTAACCAGTCATCTTAAAGAATCCAGCACTTGCATACATAATTGGGAAATCAGGTTTTGATGCATCTGATACCACAAATGTCTGTTGAAATGCAGATAATGCATCTTTCAAGTCCTCTGATACTCTTGGAAACCCTCTGTCTTTACCTGCAAATTCAATTGAATGATGAGTTTGACAGTTTAAAAACGTAAATCTAACTTTTAAATTGTAACAAAGTTTAAGTCCACGATCAACTTAGAACAAAAGGAATATAATATGTTAATTATAGAGTTCTTGAATGAATTTTACCTATTCCATCATCAGAATCGCCGGAGGTCCGGACAGAGTTACCGGAATCCCTCCTCGAATTTCCTGGTTTATTGGGATCATCTCCAGAAGTTCTTACTTTAACCCCTTGTAACTTGCCAGACTCACTGTCAGTTTTCAACACTAGTCCCCACTCTGCAGCTCTTTGAGCAGCAGCCCCAGCTTCTCCGCCTGCTGGAGATTTCTGGCCGTCGTGTTCACGGTTAATAATTGCTGACTGAGAAACCGGTGACAGCTGGTGGTGCTGTGATGGTGGTGGTGATGGAGGATTTTGCACCTTGAGGGCCATCCATGAGGTGATTTCATCAGCATTTGTTCGGCCTGATTTTGAAGAGAACTTGTGTTCCAATTCTGGCTCGGGATTATTAGACGTCTTAGGCCGGTCTATCCTGCTCTGCCAAGAGGGCTGTGATCCGAACACGGGACTCACCGACCTGGCAGAAGAAGAAGAATAAGTTGATGGATTGAACACTTCTAAAGATCCCCGAGAGTCCCTCGGCAAAGGCTGTCCGAGTGGTGATGACTGATTCTGCTCATTTTCTGCTGAATCCATCTCTGCATCAGAGCATAAATTTCATATATTCGACATCGGATGAACAGTAATGGTGCAGGATACTTTATAGTAATAGTTTGTTTAGTGATATCGACTGTTCTATAAAACACAAAGAAGGGAAAAAAAAAGTTTTAGTCTTATCTAACAGTATTGTCACGTCTTGTCCAATACTGTCATCGACTGGATCTTATTGTGTGTAAATTGGCTCATTAGCAGAAGATTTTTCTTCCTGGATGTTGATACAACTTGCATGTGGGACAGAAAATTGAGTAGGGCTGGACTTAGCGGCCTGAGAGTGATGTTTTTGGTATTCTTCTGCATGTGAAAATATAGAGGTATATGTGGTATTTCTCACAGTAACATTAATCAAAAAGATATGTGAATTTTTTCATATTTTGGATTCTTGACTATTTGGAACCCTGAGGACCTCACATTTTGAAGGGCAGTTTGGTCAAGACAATGCCATTTGCTTTTGTGTAGTTTCACCATAAATGGCTAAACACTATGAAGAGCACCTAAAAAGCTTCAATTTTGTAAATATCCAAGTCTGGGTAGTTAATGAATTAAAAATCTTTGCTGTCCATGAAAGCGACCGACACAAATAAACAAAATACTAAACAAGAATGAAGAGTATACACTGTCAACTAGTGCTCATCATTGTGTTCTATGCCAAGATGCTTAGGTTGATCGGGAGTTCAAGCATATGTTAAATTAGGCTGAGATGGGTCTACAGTTCACTTAGATAAACAAAATCCTGAGTCTCGACCAATGTGTAGCTGTCGGCGGCCGTTTGGTCACCTATTTTGAGTTATGGATGCACAAGACCAAAACATGTTTTCCAAGTGTGTAATTTATCAACCTTCTGACTACCATACTAAATAAGCCATAAACTATTACACATTTAATGAAGTTTTAAGGAAATACCTTAAAGAAAGAACTTGCCTGTCTTCAAACTGCTGTAAGCAGAAGTGTATTTCTGTGTGAATCGACAAGAAGAAACTGTGTTGGGGAATACTTTTTAATAGCGAAAAGGCTGAGAACAAAAGGGGAGAATGATTGTAGTAAAGGGCTGGCATCCATGCTTGTACACCTAAAATTCACATGGAACAAACACTAATCCCATGCCTAATTCTAAAACTGTTGTTTTTTACTGGGATGCAAGTTTTCTTAATTTCATTCTACTGTTTACCATTGATGCCAGTCATTCCTTGGTTCTTGTGGCATTCCCACCACCGATTTCCACCGTAATGGGCTTCGTGCACATTTTTGCCCTGACAGTTTAATGAATAAGAATTTAATTTTTTTCTTCACTAATTATAACAACCCGTCAAAGTTATTCGATATAGTCATATTGTGATATTCGGGACAACATGCCCCTATTTTGCTTCCACTTAATGTGCATATTCTTCACAGACCGTCATTTTCTTGATGAGTTCGGATTCTATAGTCCACCTTGGCACACTTTCGATCAAAATAATAGTAAGTTCTAGTACCATTATGTAATTATGAGTCAAGCCTATATATGATAATATTGTTAGGTTTTTACTCCATCACGACTAATTCTACTATCTGGAAAAGGTCTCGATAGTAATTTTCACGAATCTTACTTACATACCACATAACTTTTTGTCCATTAATGCAGTTTAATTCTCTATGTGGGAAAAGTCGTAGGTTGAGGACAAGAAACATAGCATGCAACAGATGAAGCATTTGAGGTGGAAGAGGCATGGAGTTTTTGTGTCAAGGGGTGCCCTACTTGGCAGTTGGCAGTGGCATGGCCAATGGCACAAAATGTTTGAGCTTTCGAATAATAATTTTACTTAATATTATACAAAGCATTGGAATATATGTTTTGCTAATCTGGCAGAGTTAAGAGCCCATACGTCAAGAGGGGAGTCGGGGCATGTGGACTCGTCTTGATGTAGGCCTACACAGTCTAACGAGACTATTTTGAAATATTTACTCATGAAAATGGTAGAGATTTGTATGTATGTGTTCAAATTAAAGGGATTCTTTCATGATCATGACACTTCTTTGAATTTGTCTTCTCCCGATCACCTCTACCTGTTAACTCATAATAAGAATATTTTCTCCTCTAAAAGATAAAATAATTGATACATAGGCATAATAATATATGCAATGCAACCTAACTTTTTGTTAAAGGTAAATTCCGTATTGAATAACAATGAAATAAATAGATAATATACTGGTTGGACGATTCATTTGATAATGTTAAACATTTCAAGATGAAAAGCAATTCGATTTGATTTTGACTCAAATGACAACATGAATTTCAAGATTGATGCATCAAACGAGTCGTTATCTTGGAAGACATGTTGTGGGAAAATCTTAAAGCGATGCATAATGATATAAATATAATACGTAAGAGTTTAGATTAATCATCTTGATTATCAAGATCGACCGAGACTTAAACTCTAATTACCTTTAACCCTATCAAGATATATATTTTTGTTTGGATAATTGATTTAGTACAATTTAGTTATACTTGGTTGGGAGGCTCAAGTGCAAAAGTGAAATCATAAATTAGTAATTACACAAAGATGTTTATCTTATCTTGTGACCAGTGGTAGGGCCACGGCACGTGAGTTTCAGAGACCATCTTATCTTCTCACTCTCACATCAGATTCTCATGTTGGCCCAATACCCATCGCTTTCCTCCTACTTTTCATGGCCCAATAGATTTTCACTTATCACCCAATTATTTGGAAAACGAGTATATTTCTACTTTAGCTCTACTTTTTAAAATGAGATGATTAAGCTAATATTAGAACTACTATAGTTTCTGGATTCAAGTATCTCCGTGCAACTTTTTTTTTTTTTTTTTGGTAGCGGCTTACTCTTATTAATAGAACCTCACTTGTGGCGGAGGAATACCGTGATTACATCTCCATGCAACATTTGACAAGAAAATATATGTCAGAATTTGTAGGTATATTCATGTCTCGTTCGCTAAGGGTCCGTTTGATAGGAAGGGTGGAAAATGGGTGGAAAGAAAATAAATTCCAGGGAAAGTAATTGACTAGAAATTGTTTTGTAGGGAATTGTTAATTATGCCCCTGTTTGAGCCACATTATTTTTTCATTCTCATTCTTCTACTCATTTTCAACCACACATTTTTCAATAAAATAATATTTTTCATCACATCAATGACTTTTCCTTCTTTTTTAACCACATATTCCCCATCACATCACTTCAAAAAAATGCATTCTCTCATTTTAATGTGCACCAAACAGGCTCTATGTGTGTTTGATTGGTATAATTTTCCACCTGGAAAATTTTTAAATTTTATGTTCGTTTGGCCTTCGTTTGCATCAAAATTNTTTCCTAAAAAATTATTTTTTTTATCAAAGTTTAGTGTTCGTTTGACCTTCGTTTGCATCAAAATTGTCCATGAAAGTGAAATTTTTTTTTACACTTTGTTATGAAATTTGTTTCTATTGCTAAAAAAAAACAACAAAAAAATCAAGTCAAAAATGACGGCTGGTTGGAAAACCAATTCTCACCAATTTTAGGTGAGAATTGGTTTTCACCAATTTGGAAGAAAAAGGCGCGTGGAGGCTGTCCCAAGAAAATTTTTTCCCATCCATTTTATGCCAATCAAACATGGATTTTGTTGGAAAATGGAATTCTTTTTCCATTTTCCATGGAAAATGGAAGTAATCAAATACAGCCTAATTGCTACTTTGGTATGAACCACATATAGGACCCCTTCTCATTTTACACGAGTTCGTCTAGGTATGATGAAAATTGGAGACTAACAAAAAATAGTGGCGCGAGTCGCGCGACGGTCTAAAAGTCACGTTTACACAGAATATTTTGTAGCTCCTTCACAGAAATCAGCACAGAAGAGTACAGAAATTAAAGCCCATCAAAGCCAGTATCAACCTCAAAAAAAGAAAAGAAAAAAAAAACCTAGAAACCAGAGTTACAACTGGGAGAAACTATGCCATTTTTTCAAGTTGAAAAAATGGGCCCAATTGTACAAAATGTATCGTCTATTAGTCCCTGGTGTTCATTAGAACTAACCATTCTTCAGTCAGTTACCATACTCGCTGGCTCTGCTGCAGCAGTATCATTGTTTACTGGCTGTATCAGACGAATTGATGGATACGGTGGAAGCGTCAATGCCAGGATCGTGAGATCAACTCGAGTTTCATTCACACTCTCGGGAATCTCTATACGGTGAATAGCTATTATTCTTCCATTCTTGATCTCCAAATTCACTGTTTCACAAAATTATATATGATCAAGGAACCAAACAGACTAAAAGAAACCAGAACATATAACAGAACATCCACGAATACTTGCATGCTCAGGGACATTCAAGAAATGCAATAAAAATCTCCAAGAAAATAGAATTCCCTTTCTTAACATCATTGAATTCGTCCCCAGATAATCGAACCACCAGAGAATGAAGAAATATATTGGACAAGCAAGTTCCTCCGCCATCAAATTCTTATGTATCTAAACATTTGATTCCCAGTTTTAATTTTTCAATCAAGAGCCTTAATCGAAGGAAAAAAAACGCGCACAATTTCTACGAAGAAAATCCAAAAATGCTGCAAAAAAATCCCCAAGAAAATAGAATTCCCTTTCTTAAAATCGCTGAATTCGTACCTGGGTAAGACCACCACCAGAGAATTAAGAGGCAAATCAGCACAATCACGGGGATCAGATGAACCAACAATCGGGACCCCAAAAACTCCCTCTTGTGATTGCCATTGTGCTTGTTGTAGAGGGGAAGTTCTGAGCTTTCATCAAATTTCCTTCTTGGAGTGGAAACAGTTTGCCTCTGCATTTTTAGAGAGAGAGAAAAAAAATGTTCTTGAGAGAAGTTTGATTTAGTTGAAGCCTGGAGTGTCTATTTTGTATGTAGTTAAGTCAGTTGACTTTAGGCGGGAAAGCTTTCTTGAATTACCTGCTTATTTTCTTCAACACAATTTTGCCTTTTCACTCTGTTTGTCCATTTTAATTTTCAATTTATTACAACTCTCGTTTATTTAATGTTTACGTTTTGCTGGGACTAGCACAAGAGTCCAATGCACTTCACCAAAATAAAAAATGATTTATAAATATTGGAAATTGAATTTTCAAAAAATATTATAAGAAAATCGAAAGACGAAACCAATATAATTTAGTTTTATAAATGAGTACAGTACACACTAAGGAGAAGCCCTCTATAAACCAGATGCAATGTATCAAAGCATCTTCTCTATCCATGGCCAACAACTTCTACAGTACCCCTTTTTTATTTTTACTTTCTTCTTTGAATCAAGGAATACTATTACGTACATTACCTTTTATTCACATTTACATAGAAAGAGGGAGGTCGGGGGTGATAAAAAATATAAACTCGTATATGTAAGTAGAGGAAACTGGAAAGAGCTATTAAATGGAAGAGGAAATTCTGGATTCACTTAACTTTATTCATCAATTAAGCAGCCTATATATAGGCATTACAATTCAACGGTCTACCACCAAACTAGGCACTCATCTGAACATGCAAAACAGAAAATAAAGACACGTACCCTCCTATAGACCAGGTAAAACTAAAGACCATGCTAATGACCATAACAAATCTTGACACGTACAAAAAACCACTAACAAAATCCTATAGACCCGGACAAAAATAACAGACCCACGTGATGACATTTTCAACAATCCCTCTCTTAAACTGATGTTTTCAAACACTCAGTTTTAACAAATCAACAGCCAACATCCTCTAATCACGATCTTGCAAAGTGCAGACACCGAGTAACTTTCTCAACTTCTGAAATGCAAGCAATTTGAGGGGTTTGGTAAATATGTCAGCAACTTGGTCTTCACTTCTGCAGTAAACAAGATCAATAGCTCCATCTTTTGTAAGGTTTCTTAAGAAATGATACTTAACATCAATGTGCTTGCTTCTTCCGTGCAAAACAGGATTCTTGGAAAGTTTAATTGTTGAACTATTGTCACAATAAAGTATAGTGGGTTCTTGTTGTTTGAAGTGCAGCTCCTCAAGAATTTTCCTCAGCCAAATGGCTTGACAAGCACATGCAGTTGCAGCTACAAGTTCTGCTTCGGTTGTTGATAAAGTAACAATCGGTTGCTTCTTTGAACTCCATGAAACAGCTGCTGAACCCATCATGAATACATAGCCAGACGTACTCTTTCTATCGTCAAGATCACCTGCGTAGTCACTGTCAGTAAAACCAAACAAATCTGACTTTTCACCCTTCTTATAGAACAACCCATATTCAATGGTTCCTTGCAAGTATCGAAGAATCCTCTTGGCAGCTAAAAGATGCATCTCCTTTGGGCATTCCATGTATCTACTAATAAGACTTACAGCATGCATAATATCAGGCCTTGTGGCCGTTAAATACATCAAGCTTCCCACAATTTGCTTGTAAAGGGTGCTGTCAACCTTCTTTCCTTCAGGATCTTTGATGAGCTTCAAACCCACTTCAGATGGCGTGCTAACAGAGTTGCAGTTCTTCATTTGAAACCTATCTAGAATTTCTTTCACATACTTCTTTTGAGAAATAAAAATACCAACAGCAGATTGCATCACTTCAATACCGAGAAAATAATGCATTTTTCCAAGATCAGTCATTTCAAATTCAAGCATCATAGACTGTTTAAAATTTTCAATCATGGCACTATCGTTTCCCATATAAATTAAATCATCCACATATAAACAAGCAATGAGCATTTTTCCTCCATCTCTTATTTTTGTAAAAAGTGTATGCTCATATGGACATTTCTTAAACCCTTCCTTAGAAAAATAAGCATCTATACGACTATACCAAGCCCTTGGAGCTTGTTTTAGTCCATATAGTGCCTTTTTTAATTTATATACCTTATGCTCACTTCCAAGCTTCACATAACCAGGAGGTTGGTCAATAAATACCTGTTCTTCCAAGTCTCCATGTAAGAAAGCTGATTTCACGTCCAACTGGAAGATCGGCCATGAGTATTCTACTGCTAATGCAATCACCAATCTGATTGTATCATGCCTAGCTACAGGAGCAAACACTTCTTTGTAGTCAACACCAAACTCTTGCTTATATCCTTTAGCTACTAAGCGCGCCTTATACTTGTCAATTTCACCATTTTCCTTCAATTTTGTCTTGTACACCCACTTGACACCAATTGTTTTATGTCCCACTGGAAGATCAGTCAACTCCCAAGTATTGTTTCGTTCAATGGCTGCCATTTCTTCAGCCATCGCGTTGCGCCATTTTGATTCTTTGATAGCTTCTTCATAAGCTGTAGGATCACAATCAGTAAATAAGGCAAAATGTGCAAGTGGGTCCTCATCAGATTCATCAGTTACCTCATAATCCACCATCCATGCTGGTCTTTTTCTAACTCGTTGAGACCTTTGTTCTCCAACTTCTTCAACCATAGGTAGGCTTTGTAAATCATTCTGAGTTGCTGCCATAGGTTGCTGCCCTTTCTCATCACTCTCACCATCAAAATCTGCTGGAATATGTTGTCTAACATCATTGTCACTCCATGGCCAGGTCTTTTCTTCATCAAAAACAACATCACGACTGATTACAATTTTCTTAGTGTTAGGATTGTATAACTTATAAGCTTTTGATTGATCACTAACACCAAGAAAAATGCATTTTTCTCCCTTGTCATCAAGCTTTTTCCTCTTTGCATCTGGAATATGGGCATAAGCAATACACCCAAAATTTTTGAAATGATCTACTACTGGTCTTCGTCCGCTCCATGCTTCCTCCGGTGTCATATTTTGAACAGAAAGAGTTGGACTTCTATTCAAAATATGAATGCTCCAGTTAACGGCTTCAGGCCAAAAAAATTTCGGAATGCCACTCCTTATCAAAAGACTTCGCACCATATTCAAAACAGTGCGATTCTTCCTCTCGCAAATTCCATTTTGTTGAGGCGTATATGCCGCTGTAAGTTGCCTCTTGATTCCATGGGTCTCACAGAAATTTGCAAATTCATGTGAGTTGTATTCTCCACCACGATCAGTACGAAGAACTTTTATTGGACTACCAGATTCTTTCTCAACACATACTTTATAATTTTTAAAGACTGCAAAAGCTTCAGATTTCTCCCGCAAAAAATACGCCCATGTTTTTCGACTATAATCATCAATGAAGGTAATTATGTATTTTTTACCTCCATTAGAAGATGGATTAATTGGCCCACAAATGTCAGAATGAACTAGCTCCAATGGCTTCTTTGCCCTCCAAGATTTTCCTTGTGGAAATTGATTACGGTGTTGTTTGCTAACAACGCATTCTTCACAAACTTGAGATGGAGCAATAATTTGAGGAAGACCTGTCACCATGTTCTTTTGTTGTAGTATTCTCAATCCGCCAAAATTGAGATGCCCATAGCGAAAATGCCATAACCATGCCTCATACTTTAGTCTTGCAGATAAGCATGAATGAGTGGTGTTTTGAAGATACAGGGGAAACATTCGATTTGCCGTTATGTTAACTTGAGCAATTAAGCCCAACTTTGCATCTTGTATACGACATACTCCGTCTTTGATGGAAATCTCATACCCTTTCTCTTGCAGCTGACCCACACTAAGTAAGTTGGTCTTCAAGTCAGGAACAAATAGAACATTAGAGATGGTCTGAGTAGAATTTCCCTTAGTTTGAATTGACACCCTTCCTTTTCCCATAACTGACACTTTAGAATTGTCACCAAACTTCACATTATCACGAAATGACTCGTCCAAATCAGAGAATGCAGACTTGTCTCCACACATATGATTGCTGCAGCCTGTGTCTAAGTACCACAAATTCTTGTTGGTTTCCTCCTTTGCATGACAAACCATTAACAAGGATACTTCTTCTTCCTTCTCTACAAGATTAGACATCTCTCCATGTTGTCCATTCAGATTAGTTCGGCATTCAGATTTATAGTGGCCATACCGATGACATCTGTAGCACTCCACATTGGATTTGTCTGCTGATCTTGGTCTATAAGTAGTCAAATGGTGGCCTCCTCTTCCTCGTCCTCTTCCTTGAAATTGATTTTCTCGGTATTGGTTTCCTCGATCATTGTTTGCTCTACCTCTGCCTCTATTACCTCGTCCTCCTCTTCCTCTACCTCGATCTGCTGATTGATTCTGTATCATAGCATTATTGTTAGTTGAAGCTTTCAAAGCTTGCTCCTCATTGTCCTGCTGGATCAACTTGTGCTCATGAACCAGTAATGAACCTTGGAGTTCATCAATTGAGAGCTGATCAAGGTCATTTGACTCTTCAATTGAACATACAACATAATTGAACTTTGGTGTCATCGATCGAAGTATTTTCTCGGTTACTTTTACATCCTCTATCTTCTCGCCGTGAATCCGCATTTTGTTGATAATTGCCATTGTTCTTGAGAAAAAATCAGAAACCGACTCCCCCGGTTTCATACGGAGTATTTCGAACTCTGTACGGAGTGCTTGGAGCTGCTGCCTCTTTGCTCTTGTTGTTCCTTGGTACTTCTTCTTCATGGAATCCCAAATATGTTTGGAGGTATCCTTGCAAAGAATGGTTTCCAGAATTGAGCGATCAATAGCTTGGAAAAGATAATTCTTTGCTTTGAGGTCCTTCAATCGCTGCCCTTCAAGTTCAATTTTCTGCTGGTCCGTTAAGATTGTGCCTGCTGCTGGTTCTGCTACTCCATGCTCAACAATCTGCCAATACTCTTTAGACCTCAAGAAGTTCTCCATCAACATGCTCCAATGGTCATAATGACCATCAAAGCGTGGAATTGCAGGTTGCACAAAGTTTTCTGAAGCCATCATACACTGCTACTGCCTGAAGAAAGGAACAAAGCTGCTGCTTTACTTTTATATCTCACGTACTCTCGTGTCTTTTGACTCAATCAATCTCTCCTGTTTAAACTTACTCTTGGCTGCAGTGTCTCATGAACTCCCTCTCTCTTGGCTCACCCTCTCTTTCTTTTTTCACCCAGTTGTCACTCTCAAGCTCTGATACCACTAATAAAAAATATAAACTCGTATATGTAAGTAGAGGAAACTGGAAAGAGCTATTAAATGGAAGAGGAAATTCTAGATTCACTTGACTTTATTCATCAATTAAGCAGCCTATATATAGGCATTACAATTCAACGGTCTACCACCAAACTAGGCACTCATCTGAACATGCAAAACAGAAAATAAAGACACGTACCCTCCTATAGACCAGGTAAAACTAAAGACCATGCTAATGACCATAACAAATCTTGACACGTACAAAAAACCACTAACAAAATCCTATAGACCCGGACAAAAATAACAGACCCACGTGATGACATTTTCAACAGAGGGGGGGAGGGGGGGACAAGCGACCTAATCCTAAGTAGCAGCACCAGTTATCAAGGGAGGGGAAAACTGATAACCGGGAGGACAGCAACGTACGGAACTGCTTAAATCATATCTCTAGCTCAGGGACATTTCCGTTTGCCATCTCGTTTCACAGTACTAGTATCTTATATCTGGGATGCAAGGTAATTCAGTGCTGTAACAACATCTGCAATGAGGGGCCGCATGTTGGGTTGCTCCTGCAAACACATTGCAGCAATTGCAAGAGCCTGGTATATGCCTCTCACGGGATATTGACCTTCCAGTTCCGGATCAGCCATTTTGTAGAATTTTTTCCGGTCCTTGAACAACGGTCGAGCCTACAAAACAAACAAATGGATTTTATCAAAATAATCAGTTTTAGAATACGATGCACTAATATGTTAACTATGGCTGTACAATCAGGCTTCTCAAGAACTTCTTACTCCCCCATCAACATCAGTGTACAAAATCAATCACTTTGCTATTATAAATCAATGATGAAAGTTGAATTCAAGTATTCAACTAATGCAAAAGGACCTACTTAAGCTTAAGATATGCATGTACAGAAGATGTAGAATGTGTCTACTCAGATGACGTAATCGACACTGATATTCGACTACTTAGTTATTTTCTATAGACATACTATTAGAACCAGAAACGATAGAAAGATGAAAGAAAAGAAAGTGTAAAGTTGATCAACCACAATAGAATATCTATGATTAAACACTTTACATGTGGCCCCGAGTGTCAAATCAACTATGGCTGCTACATAGATAGAACCGTTTTGGATGGCTCAAAATGCAATGCCTTTGAAGTGGCACAACAGAAAGTTGACTCAAAAGCGAACATTATCAAGTAGTCAATTTATTCATCCAAGCTATCAGAATACGACTTCCATTCAATAAGTAATCAGAACAAACGATCAACCTAAGGAAAATTAACCGTCAAGAGTAGAAAATAAAATATAACTCACCCATGCAACGAGATATTGCTCTGCACCAGTTTTTCGATTGTCAATAGCTTTCCTCCCCGTGATGATCTCAGAAGAACAACACCGAAACTGTAAATGTCCGACTTGAAAGTCAGCTGGCCAGTCACCGCGTATTCAGGTGCACAATATCCATACGTGCCCATCACTCTGGTGGAGACATGTGTCTGATCTCCAGACGGGCCCGCTTTCGCCAATCCAAAATCAGATAGTTTGGGATAATATCCTTCCCCGAGCAAAATGTTGGAGCATTTCAGATCACGATATATAACTGGTGGTTTCATCTTATCATGCAAATACTCCAAGCCTTTTGCTGCACCAGCTGCTATCTTCATTCTAGTATTCCAAAGAAGCCGTTTTTTATTTTGACGAGGGTCTATCCAGAAAA